AAGCAACAGTCATTCATATTGTCAACGATCGGAATGTTTTAAGATTTATGCAGAAATGCATGATTGCGCCGGCAACCCTGATGCGCCCTGCTAATTGAGTTCAGTCAGTAATAGAAAGCACATACTGTCGTTTTGTGTGAGTGTGAGTCTGTATTTATGTATATAAGTGTGTTTGGGGCGCCATAAACGTAACATCAGTTCTCCAGTGTTGTATTGATTGAAAGGTTGAATTTCATCTTGTACTTTTGGGGTATTGTCTTACCGTTCAGTGGAAATTTCATGCAACTCTTATGCAGGGTATATGGGACAATGTGGTGGTGAAACAGAATAGTTTGGCATCAGCCTGTGTTATTGCGTGCAATTTGCTTCACGTGGATGAAGTGATGCGTGCCGGTATGACAAATCTGAAAGGCGGCGCTCAGTAATATGAAGAAGTAAAAAACAACATTCTTGTTTGCTTCATTTTTTTTTTTTTGCTTTGTTAACTGTTGATTTTTCTTGCTTTTCTCTGATAATACTTACAGCTTCTTTTGACACAGATTTTTTGGAATATTTGCGAAGCAAAAAATCGAAAAAGCTAAATTACTGTGTTTTTTGTTTATGATTTATGTTCAGTTTTTAAGGTCCGTATTGGAAATGCAACAGACCTGTAAAATCACGTTCTTTATTTGTAATTGCAAAAGAAATAAAACTGGTTTTTGACGAATGATTAATTGCAGTGTGCATCTATTCCATTTTAAAGCTCAGCATACTGTATTAACAAATTAGATGGAGTGATGTACGACTGCTTCGTACTGCCGTAATTCAGTCAGATCTTTCATTGCCATGTGGCCATTTCGATCCGAAACCCAACGACCATTCATTCCTGGTATACGACTAGTCGGCTTTCCCCAGGTCATCCCTCGAAAAAGCAGCACTTCATCCACTGAAAAGCATCTTTTATGGAATCCTGTGCTTCAGTTTTGTGATGGTTCGCGTCATGCAGTAGTTTTGGGAAGCGTGATTTAGCATCTCCGCACCCTGTGTTGGTGAGAAGAGTTGAGGAATAACGGTTTTGGACCTTCAGTGGAAATACTCGAAATTAATGGAGACGATAGACGGGAACTGAAGACAGACAAGAGACTGGAAAGTATGGCACTTTCGTGGTGGGGATATAAGTACATCTCAATATCTCTGAAGTTTTATCAAGGCGTGAATTTTCGAAGCGCCTAACAAGTCGGGAGGGCGTGTAACGTTTCGTTTAGGATTTTTTATGCGTTTTTTGTATCTACGTACTGCAGAAAACGCATATTGACGAGGGGTTGTCTGTGTGTATGTGTACTTGTGTGCCTGTTTATGCGTTTGTACCGATTTTTCATTTCAAGGACTATAAAAGCTACGGGGCTGAAACTTTGGGAACTTAATCTACATGCAAGTTCGGGCCCCAATCCTCAAAGTGGGAGTTCTTACCCGCGTGGCACCCATGTACGGGCCCGCCAAGGTTTTTTACGGACAGGCTGTTAACTTGGGAACCAGAAATGCTGAAAAGCTGAAGTTTTAAGAGGATGTTTCCTGTTCAAATGGGTATTAACGAGCTTAAACCCAGCCTTCGGATATGCGTTGTTCCCAGGTACGGGCACTCGAAATATTTTTTCGGATAAGTCGTTAACTTAGGAACCTGAGAAATTAGAAGACTGGAATCTTGAGAGGACGTCCCTCGTCCAAGTAGGTATTAACGAGTTCAAACCTAATCCTCGGGTAAGCGTGATTCCCACGTACGGGCCCATTAATTTTTTTCCGGTAATTTGCTAAGTTGGGAACCAAGAAAGCTAGAAAGCTGAAATTTTAAAAGGATATTTCCTGACAGTCTTGCCGACCAGTCTCAATTCTCTTAGCTGGAAACACCTACTTGAAAAACCAGTGCCGCTATCGACAAAAATCTGCGGGGAACTATGCAAAAAATGCATCTTTCGCATCGGCACTGGCCGTTTATTTGTTCCGATAAAATTTTCTCTGAAGTGACAACGAATATCCCAAAGTGGTCTATAGACTGTGATAAGGGACTGCGACCCATCAATGACCATTCTCTGTTATTGCGATAGGATTTAGGAGTATATGAAAGGATTACCGTCGGACCACATGGCGTATACGTGATCAGCCTCTCTTTGTGAATCATTGTTCAAACTTTCGAGAAATGCGGAATAATTTTTCTGTTTGCACTCGGCATCGGGAGACGCGCAGAGCAGCTGAAAAAAGGCATCTTAGGCGAAT